GGAAATTTGACACTGGTCTCAACTGTGAGTTTTGAAAGCTGCTTACTAAAAACATCTGGGCTCCACTTGCTCTGGGAGTTTAACTGAAAACTCCTTCTTGTCGCTCCTTGGGCAAAACACTCGGTGAAAACTTTCAATTTATTTCTTTTAGGTGCCTGAGTTTTTCCAAGTGGGAAACCCGGGATTTAGGCAACAAGTTTTCACTGGGTACTTCCAGCACAGAATGCAAATGGCTGGAATACACAGAGCTCCTGGCTCCTGGAAACACTCTCCAAAGGGAGACGGACAAAGGATGTTTGATGTTCTGCCGGGAAATTTGCTTTGGAGACCGAAAACGAAGCTGTTTTTATGCAGGAAAAAAGTCCAAACACAGAATAATCTGTAGCTTTGTACTACAAGATTTTATAGACAAGGACTATAAAACCCTCTTTAGACAGACATACTTCTTCTAAGTTGTGACACAGGATTTTTTTCTCTCTGTAGTATTTTTACACAGTCTAAACAAAATGGTGTAGGAGATTGTAATTCTCTAATTTGCCCAGAACACCCTTTCATTTATTTTTATTTCTTTTACAAGCCTTGTAAAAATACACTTAGAGCCAAGAGAGTGAGGAAGAACAATGTTAATAATATAGTAATTCTGTCAGCACAGCCAGAAGCAGGATCTGGTGAATTTACTTGGATGTATCATCCCTTTTTAAACTAACTTTCAGACTGACTCCCCTATCTGTGAGGGAAAAGCTCCATCCCTGATTCCAAAGGCAGCCTGTGCCCCAGGTGCACGTACAGGAGCTTTCACAACACGGATTTGTCCAGCTGCAAAAGCCACAATAAGTTTGATGTTGACATTCCACCACAGGCCATAATCCGCAATATTTGCTCTACTGCCATGATCCTCCCATGGTGCCATCCACCTTTTTTTCCCCCTCTCTCAGATTCACAGTTTTAAAAACAAGGGGGTGGGGGTCATTCTTATCCCCCGTTTCTGTTGTATTGAACTTTTTCTTCAAATACTGTACAAAAATTGCAAATAGACCACCCATCTAAAGTCAACAATTACAGGGAAATTTCTCAATACCCCACAAAAATCCCCTCCTTCTGAGCATGAATTCCCCTGGAAAACACTGGTGAGTGTTGAAGCCCTCATGGATCACCAGGCAGCTTTGATTCTAGACCCATGGGTGAAATGTTCTTTTTTTTTTTTTAAAAGAAGTTTTACTTGGGAATCAAAGTGACAAACAGGTTTCTCCCCCCTGAGGCCATCAGGTAATTTTGTGAGGGTGCACAAAGGTGTTCCTTGGATTTAGTGCAGCACTGAGTTTGAGCAGACACTAAATCTCTCAGAGGAGGCTGCTTTTATACTCAGCCACCCAAAAAGGGATGAGCAGCAAATGCTTTCAAGCATGAGGAGAAGAAACAAGCTTTTACAAGGAGCTGGCAGTTAAAGGACATGCAGCAGCCTGATAAAACACCACAAAAACAAGCAGTGGCCCATGGCTGATCTCTGTTGGGCAGGATGGGTGGGGGGCACCCCCGAACTGCTGGGCAGGTCTCTCCAGGAACTCATTCCGTGGCTCACTCAGAAGAAGTGAAGGGATTCAATCGATGTAGAGGGATGTTCTCAGCAGAGGGGAGGAACAGGGAGAGTTTTCTCTGGGCAGAGCTGGTTCCTGCTGTGCTGTGCTGGGACGGGACACCAAAAACACTCCTGTGGTTCACGCAGAGGCGCAGCCACAGCTCCACAGGTCCCACAGCCACATCCACCTTTCCTGCTGGGTCCAACTTCCTCCTAAGCCACGTTCAGGCCCTTGGCATCAAAGCAAAAATACTGAAAAGCAGCTCAAGGGGCTCATGTCGGGCCTAAAAAAGTTGTGCTGCTTGTGGAGCAGCGAGGCAGTGCTGAAGCGTGGAGTGCTGTCCTGGACACAGCTCCTTCCTCAAGGTGGGGAAGAGATCCAGAGGTGCTGTCCCTGCACACTGAACAAACTGGGGGAAAAAGCAAGGAAATTGAACAGAGAGAGAGAAATAAACCAGGGGAAATCATCACTGCTGTGTTGAGAAATGGCTGTGACCCTTGAAATCGGGTTGGCCTTCGGGATGGTGTTGAAGCTGTCGTGCTCAGCTCGGCAGATGTTGGGCCGTGCCCACAGATATCAGCGTTCCAGCAGGCCATAAAGCAGGGACAGAGAGGCCACCCACTCGGTGGGACAGGGAGATAAGGGGTCAGGACAGCCCCAGAGCCCCTCAGCAATCCTGCGGGGCTGTTTCAGACGCTCTGCTGGGCTGGGCAGAGCCCTGAACCTGGGCAGAGCACCCTGGCCTTCGTGCTCAGTGTCCTGGGAAGATGCTGCCATTAAAGCTGTGGAGGCAAAGCCCTCAGAGTCCCCTCAGCCAGAGGAGTGCTCTGCCTGGCCTGAGGAATCTTCCACCCACTTGCTTGCTCAGTCATGCATGGCCACAAACCTGTCTAAATAGGCAGCGATGACCAAGACTGAAACTCCAAATCAGGAACTTTCCAGTCTGACAAGTAAAAACAAACAAAAAAGATTTCCGCTCCACACGTACTTAGCACAGGCCAGGCCCTTCCTTGCCTTCTGTTTGGTGCTCTTGGCTCCTTCTAAAAGCCTCTGAGAAGGGACACAACCCACAGCAGGCTCAGAGGAAAGAAGATCAAACACTCCCACGGCCAAAAAGTGTTTTGTGTGGGGGTGTTTGTGCGTTGCATTCCTCACACAAACACCCCCACACCTCGTTTGTCTCTTTTCCCTGTCTCCGGCCACCCTGCTGACCCCTTAGAGCGTCTCTGCAGGCCGTGAACTTAGCAGAAAACAGCATTTTGGACCTGTTTCTTTTGGCCACTGGGTGGGTCTGAAAACTGCAGAGCTAGAGAGACACAGGGAGGAGCTCGGTGACTCGAGGGCAAAGGGTGATCACAGAGAATTTCCCCAAGACGCCAAGATCCCGAGGGGCAGGGGAGGATGTTCGCTCAGGCCCAGAAGGAAGAGTTCTCTGACAAAGCATTTTTCCAGTCAGGAGGTGCAGGTTGAGCAATGGGCTGACACCAGCTGAAACAACAGCCTGGGAGGGAGCAGAGGGATGCAAAACCACGAGGATATCTCTGAGGTCACCACGGAAAACAGTCTCTGAGTAAGAAGAAAAAAGAATTGCAGCACTGTTACTTCATCCAGGGAACTTTGTTCAATCAAGACCAGCAGGCTCAGCATGACCACGCAAAAAAAGCTACCAGGCTTTTATTGGAATTCCTGCCTGTATCCCTGCCTCAGGCAGCTTTAACTAGGAGTGGACTCTGCCTGGAAAAGGCAATTCCCACTTTATTCCCTGTCTGTGTTTACTCTGATCTGCTCTGGAGTCACCAGGCCGTACTGCCCTCCACATAAACAGAAGCATTTCAAGAGGAACAGGGAGGTTGTCAGAAAACATCCACTTCCAGAGTTTTCTGCTGGAAACCCTTTTCCTTCGAATCACCAGCCTTGCTGTGGTGAAAAAATGTTGTCACCACAAAATTCCTCAGGTGGGAAAGGTTCAATCCCTTCTTGCTAGATTCCAGAGGCCAGGAAAGCAGCTCAATCCAGAGAAAGGAGCATTTCCTGAACTTATTTATTAATAATGATATTATATTTATAATATTATAGATTCATATTTATTATTTCATAATAATTATTCAGTTATTTTAACCTAAACTGCCACACAGCCACTTCACAGGCCTACAGTGACAAGGATGGGAACAGAGCTGGGAATTGCAGAGATTGGAAAAGGAGGCAGGGGATTGAGAATCTGTGTTTTTACAAGGATTGTGTTTTTTTACCAGAATCTGTGTTTTTACAGCCACATCCAGCGTGAGAAGCACCAGTGCAGAGAGGCTGAGGAATAGGAAGAGAAAGTGACACCACCATTACTTTACATCAGCTGGAAACTTTCTCTTCTTCTTCTTCCAAGTCCTTCAGAAGTGGTTTCAGAAGTAATTGGGAGAAGACAGTTCTACCCCTTTCCCCATATCACCCTCCACAAAACCTGACAGATCTCTCTGTTTCAGGCAGTTCCTGCTTTCCTGTCGGGTGGGAGGCTGAGGATTGAGCAACAGCATCTCCAAAAGCAACCAGACCTCGAGGGTGAGGAATTGGGAAGTGGGTGGGATCTCTTCCCAACCATCACGTGACTTTTATTCATCTTCCTCCTTGGGAATGAGGTAACATTCCATTTTCAGACAACGTGCTTTGCCTGGTATCTACAAGAAACAAACTAGAAACATCATGATTCATTAAAAAAGCATTTTTATTTCACCTGCAAAAACTTGTGTTATACCATAACTCAGGAAATAAAGGTTAATCAGCTGCAATTTCCGTTCAGTTGCTCTTTGAGAGATGCTGTCCTTTACAGCTCTCTCCATGAAGATTCCAGGAATTTTGTTAACATTCCCATCGTGTTCCAGCACTAAGATTACAGCCAACAAACGGGGCACTGGTGGAAGCTGGTCACTGAAGAAGCTCCCAGCACGTTCCAAATGACACTTCCACCTCACCTGCCTGCCAGAGGCTGCCTGGGAAGGCAGGAATCTCCCTGCTGTGTCCCAGAGCTCCTCCCGCTCACCGTCGTCTGGGAGGGGAAGGGAAAGGAAAGGGAGAGGAGAGGGAAGCGACCAAGAGGAACCGGGATACGAGGGAAAATCCCGGGCCCAGGGTGTCAGGAGACAGGCAGAGTGCTGGAAAAGGGGTGGAGGGAGAAAGGAAAGGCATCTGGAGTCATCTGTGGGAAGGGAAGGGAAGGGGAGGGAAGGGGAGGGAAGGGGAAAGGGCACGGGGTCCCTTCAGGCAGCCCGGGCGAGGCCCGTGGCACGGGAGCGGCGGGCAGCTGAGTTGTTTCGATTTGTCCCGATTTGTCCCAGTTTGTCCCGGGCTATCCCGGGGGGTCCCGGCGCGGCCGAGCGGCCACGTGGGGGCGCCCGCGCTGCGCTGCCCCCCTCCCGAGCCAATCAGCGCGCTCTATGCGCCGCTGCCCCGGGGCACGCCGGGAGTTGTAGTCCCAACGGCGCGACTGCGGAGCGGTGCCACCAGCGGCTTCTGCACGGTTCGGCGGGGCGGCTCCACCCCTGTTGTCTCCTCACGGACACTCGGGAACCTGCAGGGTGGTTTCCGCCATGCCGCAGCGCTGCCGGGGTGCAGCACCGGTGGGGGGAATCTGGTGTCGGTGTCGCGAGGGGATGACGCCAGCGGAAGGCGCGGGCGGGTGTCATGGCCGCGGGGGAGCTGTTCCCTTACAAAGCCCCGCAGGCGGGGGAGTGAGGGAGGGCCGTGCCCGGGGCTGTGTAAACAGGAGCGCACACTGAGATAATCCCAGTGGAACTGTGCCAAACATAAAATGTTGCAACAGAAGAGTCAAATTGCATCCTAGGTTTTCTAAGGAACAGGCATACCCACAGCGTTTGGTTCCTCTGAGAAATCACCATGTCCAGTGTTTATAAAAGTCCTGATTATCACAGTCACAGACTGCGTTGGGTTGGGAGGGACCTTAAAAACCATCCCATTCCATGGGCAGAGACACTTTCCACTATCCCAGGTTGCTCCAAGCCCCATCCAGCCTGGCCTTGGACACTGCCAGGGATGGGGCAGCCGCAGCTTCCCATGGAGATCCATTCCAGGGCTCACCACCCGCACAGGGAAGAGTTTTTCTCCCAATATTCCATCTAAACCCTCCTCCTGTCAGTTTGAAGCCATTCCCGCTTGTCCTGTCACTCCATGTCCAAAGTCCCTGTCCAGCTCTCCCTGAGCCCTTTTTGTCACTGGAAGGCTCCAAGGTTTCCCTGGAGCCTTTCCTTCTTCAGGCTGCACATTCCCATAACCACCACCAAGCCTTTTGTAACACAATTAAGCAGAAATAAAAAACCTAATTATGTTGTGGGAAGAGAAACCATGCAAAAAGAGAAAATGGAAAAATATATGAAAGTGGTGAAATCGTCAAGAAAGCAGGATGAGAACAGGCAAGGAAGATGTTTGGTGACAGCAGAACAGGCCATAAAAATATGATAAAATATATAAAAATTGTATTCCTTTCTCTATAGAGGGTATGGCAGAATTGGCAAACAAAGGAAGTATTTCCCTGTACAAAAGCTTTTACTTTTGCAAGTTTAATATTAAATGTCGCATCTGATTCTGGGATTTCTCACAAATATTTGGTGCATTTACTTTCCTGGGGCTGTTTAATTCTTAAGTAATTGATGGGAAGCAAGCCATGAGCATTGTTTTTAAATATTCAAACCCAAATATCTTTAGATTTTCCAAGCAATTCCCCTCACACTTCTTTTTTACCTGAAACTTGAATTTGAATTGGATTCAGTCTGCTAAGGAAGGAATTCTGGGTATTATTTTAACTTTACAAGAAAAAGCACATAATTTTACCCTAACTTTGCAAAAGTTAATACACATTTCTGCTGATGCCAGGATAAATTCTAGGCAGGACAGAGAAAGGAAGCCTGGGTGAGCAGTATAAATTCCAAAATTTTCGGTGGTTACCCTCGAGTGAGATAACACAAAGCTGTCTAAAATGGGATTAATAACCAAACAGATTTTTACCACCCCCAAAGGGATAAATTTCTCCCCAATATTCAATCTAATCCTTCCCTCCTTCATCTTAAAGCCATTTAAAACCAAGTGTTTGAAGCGTGGCCGCAGAGAGGACAAAGTCTCTTCACAAGGAGCCTTGATTCTATGAATGCATTTTTTGTGCAAGAATTTAAAAATAGGTGAAAATAGCACTGACACACCAAATAGAACTTTTTTTTTTTTATTATTATTCTTAAAGTCCTGGGAATTGTAAAGCCAGAACCGTAGCCCAACCTGAATTTCACAACTGGATGCTATTTTTAGAGGAGAAAAATAAATCATTCGCATCCTCTTTTATGTTGCATATTTTCATATCTGGCAGCACCATACAAAAAAAAAATTAGAGGGGAAAATCTGCTCTAGTTTCATTGCAAGTAATAAAATCCACACATAAATAATATAGTTGGACTTTGCTCAAGGAAAAAGAAAGGGTTTTTTTTTTTTTTTTGTTTTTTGGGGTTGTTTTGGGGTTTTTTTTTGGTTTTTTTTTTTTTGTTTTTTTTTTTGTTTGTTTGTTTGTTTTTGTGTTTGTTGGTTTTTTTTTGGTTTTTTTTTTTTTTGAAGGCACATCAAGAATTTCAGAAATTCTTTATCTTTAGGAATAGATAAATGAAAATGGTCTCTCACTAGTTATGTCAGATTAGCAGATAACAGGTGAAATCTGATTTTCAGTGGCAAAAGCAAAGTGTAAATGCACAGAGGATCGGGATCACTCATGTGGGAATTTCATTGACAGAGTATTTTTCCTCGATTTACTTGGTGCTCTTTGTACTCCCACCCCTGTTCCAGCAGGGCAGCTCCACTTCTAGGAATGTAAGAGGATCTCTGTGCTGATGAGTCAGTCCAAGGGTATTGATTTCCAAGAGCAGCCAAAAATAGGCACTTGGGGAAAAGAGGAGCAGAAACTGGGTGAGTGTGTTATGATCCTTCCCTGCTAAATTTTTCCAGTGGTGCCAAAGAAAATCACAGCTGTCTCCTTCCAGTCTCAGAGGTTACTGGGCATGAGGAAGATGAAAGAGGATGTCTCGGTTTTGAGGAATATTTAGGGATTAGCACCTCGATTCGTGAAGGGGTGATACAGCTGATGGTAAAGAGTGAACCTCTAATGGGCACTTCCCACCAGACCAGGTTGCTCCAAGGCCCATCCAGCCTGGCCTGGAATACTTCCAGGGATGAGGCAGCCACAGCTCCTCTGGGGAAGAAGGAGAAAAGAAGGAACACATTCCTTGCCAAGTTACCCAAAGACTCGATCCCAACTTTTGCTGTGAGCCTTGTTTGGTGCACTGGCAGCAAGCAGCTCCTTACAGCGGATCTTTTTGGGAGCACATGGCTGGGATGGGTGGAGAGGGAGGGAACTGCAGCAGAATCAGACTTGATAATCCAACCTTTCCACCTTCACAAGGCAGGAGAGGCATCAAAATCTCCCATGTGGACACACATTGGAAATCAGGCTCTAGTTTGGTACTTTGGAATTCAGATGCCTCTTTTAAGAGGTGTCCAGGGTTTGGAATTGCACACAGGCTGATGTCCATCCTTAGGCATCTCTCCACAGAGCTGCATTTGGATTCCATCACCTCTGGAAAGAGCAGCATTCTCCAGTCCTGCAGGGAGCAGCCACCCAAGGCCCTTCATCTTAATAAGCCCTTTTGGGCATCCTGAAGAAGACTCTAGTGATCTGAAAACCTTCTTAGGAAGCTCCTGGTGGACCTCCCTCATCCTTCTAACAAGTCCCCAGGGATAATTTCACAGGCACTTAGGAGAAGGAAACTTTCCTCCTTTTTAAAGAAAATGAAAACTTCCAAAGCAGTTCAGTTTGTCCCAACTTCTCCACACCTTGGTTGGAGAATTCATGGCTTGGCCAACACCTCTCCAGTCCTCCACTTGGTTGGTGCAGAAGTTATGGCAGGAATTTGAAGGATAATTGATCCTTCATCATTATCCTTCACCAGCAGCTTCCCCTGGCCAACGACCTGTGGTTGGCAGAAGTCCCTCAGAACCTTGTGGAAGTGCCTGGGACATCCCAAGGGGGCCATCAACAGCCTGGAACAGATTCCAGGTTCCAGGGGCTCTAAGTCAGGAGTAAAGTTGGGCATAAAGACAAATCCAGCTCCTCTGCCCTGGCTGTGCTGCCATTCAGAACCCTGGAAGAGCTGCAACAAGGATTTTTTCCTTCATAAATATCCTGTAATCTCCTTCACACTGACAAATTTTTTTTGCATTTCGGAACAGATTCCAGGTTCCAGGGGCTCTAAGTCAGGAGTAAAGTTGGGCATAAAGACAAATCCAGCTCCTGTGCCCTGGCTGTGCTGCCAATCAGAGCCCTGGAAGAGCTGCAACGAGATTTTTTTCCTTCATAAATATCCTGCTCACAGTTGTAATCTCCTTCACACTGACTAATTTTTTTTGCATTTGAGACACCTTAAGGCTACAATACAAAGTCTCATCACAGAATGAGTATTAAAAAAATCAGAGCCACTTGTAGCTAAATAAAAGAGATTTTATTAAACCTATTTCATCATAAACTTTGGGGGTCAATCGAGTGAGAATAATCTCAGCATTTTTACTAATTGTTTATTACTTCTCTACAAAGAAGAGAGGTGGTGAAGAGGGGGATGAGCTGCAGGAAGCAGCATCACCTCTCTTTCCATTAGGATTTGATGCAGCAAGGAGGAAAAAATGGGAAAAAGGAAAAATGTAGTGGCAAATATGGCTCCAGAGGTGGAACTCTGGTGATTCCAGCAAACAACAGACACCCAACAAGATGAGAGAGAGAGAGAGAGAGAGAGAGGGGAGAGTGATTTCAGGGCTGATCCATAAAACATAATTTAATATATTTGGAGTTTAATTTTGAAAGGGATATAAACTGCCTTCATACAGTGTGTCTACGTGTGCCTGAGTATCAGTTCCCAGAATTCCTGCCCTAAAATATGCATCCAACACCTGCCTGCTCTCACCTCAGCTTCAGTGGAGAACAGCATTGCCGACTGGACTCTCCTCGTGTGAAAATGACCTGAAGCTGTGCCATGCAATTCTGGAAGTGCACAGCTCTCCCTTCTAACTGCAGAGGGAGCCAAAAGAAGGAGTTTTCAGCCCAGAGGAGGAATTTTCAGCCCAGAAAATTAATTTGGATTCCAGCATTTAATTTTTAGATGAGGATTAGTCACAAACTGTGGTTTCTACCCAGCTGATGGTAGAGACTGAGTGAGGTTTTCTTGTCTTGTTAAAGCCCTTCTCACCTGGCTGATGGCTCTTTTTAGGGCACACTTTACCTCTTTGTTCCTGAGGCTGTAGATGATGGGATTTAGGAGCGGGGTGAGCATTCCATAGAGCATGGACACGACCCTATCCCAGTGCGGGGAATAGGTGAAGGAAGGACGGACGTAGGTGCAGATGGTGGTCCCGTAAAAAAGGCAAACTACGGACAGGTGAGAGCCACAGGTGGAGAAAGCCTTGTGCCACATCTCAGGGGACTTCCTGGCCAGGATTTCCAGGAGGATACAGAGGTAAGAGACCAGGGTGACCACGCAGGCACTGCTCCCCAACACCCCGGCCACCACCAGGATCACCAACTCCCTGCTGTGGGTGGATGAGCAGGAGAGGGCCAGCATGGGAGGCATGTCACAGTAATACTGCTGGATTTTGTTAGGACCACAGAAAGAGAGTGTGAAAACCAGAGAGGTGTGCAGCAGGGAGTTCAGAAGCCCCGTTGCCCAGGTGCCCAGGGCCAGCTGAGCACACAGCTTCGTGCTCACGATGCTCGGGTACCTCAGGGGGTGGCACACAGCCACGTAGCGGTCGTAGGCCATCACAGCCAGGAGGAAAATCTCTGTGCCCACCACAGCAATGAGGGAGAAGTGCTGGAACAGGCAGCCACAGAAAGAAATCTCTTTGTGCTCCAGCAGCAAGGCCCCCAGCATCCTGGGCACGGTGATGGTGGTACATAAGAGATCCAGCAGGGACAAGTTGCCGAGGAAGAAGTACATGGGGCTGTGCAGGTGGGAGTCGGTGCTGATGGCAGCGAGGAGAGTGGTGTTGCCTGCCACGGTGGCCAAATAAATGAGCAGAAACAGCACAAAGAGAAGCAAACGGATTTCTGGAGCATCGGAGAGGCCCACGAAAACAAATTCGGATACTGCTGAGAGGTTGACCCTCTGCGTCTTACCTCTCATTGTGGGAACGAGGCAGAGGTTTCCCTGGAATAAAGAAGGTGTAACTTAATCACAATTTCATCCACATTTTAAAGATTGTGAGGAGGTTTTTTTGTGTCTGTTTTGAAGTTCAAAAACATTTCCAAGCACTGCCGCGCTCAAAATCTACATTTTACCCACATATTCCTAATGCAAAAGGCAAAGTGTAGGTATTAAACTTCACAGTGATTAAAGCAAAATGTTAGTTTTTGGAAGTTGTTACCTCAGACTGAAGAGCTGGAAGTTGAAGTTACCTTCCCTGTGGCATCCAGCTTGGACACAGCCCCAAGCAACACTACAGGGCTTTTAAGGTTCTCTGAGCAAGGGGAGTGTGGTATAGATTCCTAAAATTCCTTTCAACATAAATTACTTAGTATTAATAATACTACTAAAAGGGTCTAGATTAGTAACAGAAGCTGAAATTTACTTTTTAAGGGAGTAATGCTGTCAGAAAATAATTAAATCGCTCATAATCAGCAGGTAGATGCGTTTTGGGGTTTTTTTTCCAGCTTTTGGATGGGGCTTGGAGCAACCTGGTCTAGTGGAAGGTGTCCCTGCCCATGGCAGGGGGCTGGAATCAGCTGAACTTTAAGGTGCTTTCTGACCCAAACCATTCTATGATTCTGTCATTAAAAAGTGACAATTAGGCATCCCATTAAAGACCCCCCAGTTTTCTAAACATTTTACCCCACAGACTTCCATAATACCATTAGTACTTCTAGCATCTCTCTGGACTTTCCCCCTTCTCATTTCCCCTGTTCAGAGAAGTCCAAACATGGCATTAAAGGATCCTCCCGTTTACCCCACACTGCTCCATGGAATGTAGCTCACTATATACAGTAAGGATTTACATACCAGCCCCAGAGGGAGGGAAAGCAAAGTTCAATGCAAATGCCTCCTTTTTGGGAGGCTTTGGGGTTGATTTTGAGATGGTGGGAATATTGTACCACATTCTCATTTGTAAGAGATGCAGAGATAAATAGATTGATGAAATATTTCATCTGGCCAGGCTCCTCTGCAGTCTCATGTTCTCCCAGAAACTTGAGAGGGAGCAAAGTCAAGGCTTAAACTACATAAGAAATAGTTAACTCAGCAGAAATAAAAGGAACACCACTTGTTCATTAAATGGGGAGCTCATTCAGGTGAAATAGCACAGAAACAACACAGAAATACTCACTGCTGCACAGAATTAATTACAGGTGAATTATAGTTGTCTGTATCTCCAGGAAACAAAACAATCCTTTTTCTTATTTTTACATGTGACATAGAAATTATTTCACTCATAAGGAAGAGGTGAATCCCAATAGAGCAGCGTTGGAATATTCACACAGACACGTGCCAGCGCTGGCACAAGGGCTGGCTTGGCTGCAGGAGTAAGCACCTCTCTTCTTTAATGAGGTTTTATAAATATGAGGGAGTGTCTGGGGACAAGTGTGTCTGACAGTTTTTTTGGATGTTCCCTTAATTGCATGGATGAGGGTTTTTTCAGATCATTGCCAAAAGGGGCTGAACATCGAAGGAACCAAAATTACCAGCACTACTTTGAAGAGCTAACAAAAATTCCCCCCTGGTCCCATTAAGCATCCATGTGTGATTTATGGGAGTGCCACTCCCCATGTGATGCCCAGGATTGGGAGCAGGCCTGTTCCTATTCCAGCAATACCTGACCATAAATTCTGCACTGTTCACATGAAGGATTCTTGCTGTCCATCATTCTTCCAGCCTGTTTGCTGTGTTTGCAAACTCCTGGAAAATTAAAAGATTCTGCATCTTACACAGGCAAACAGTGATAGGACAAGAGGGAATGGTTTTAAGCTAAATGATCAGGGATTTAGATTGGATATTAGTAAGAAATTCTCCCCTGTGAGGGTGGTGAGGCCCTGGCACAGGGTGTCCCGGGAAGCTGTGGATGCCCCTGGATCCTTGGAAGTGTCCAAGGCCAGGCTGGATGGGGCTTGGAGCAGCCTGGGATAGTGGAAGGTGTCCCTGCCTGTGGCAGGGGCTGGAACAACATGAACTTTAAGGTCCATTTCAACCCAAACCATTCAAGGACTGTATAAACTGGAATTTCCCAAGGGTCAGACAGCACAGGCCTGTCCTGCCATGGGAGTGCAGATCTGTGGCTGGAATAAATCCCCAGGGCCCAGAGGTGTCCCTGTGTGCTGCAGCTATCCCAAGCACCATCAGGCATCACACTTCTTATGGAGTTTTGCAGTAAAGAATTTTGTTATAAACCCAGATGCCAGAAAGAGATACACCAAAGAGATCCATCCCTCACCTCTCCCTTCCAAGGCAAACAATTCTGTGATTCTGATCCCCTCATAAATCTTAAATGTTTCTTTTGGGCTGGGATGCATTGGCCTCATCAAGGTGCCAGTCACTCAAGCTCTCAACTCTACATCTAAGTTGCTTATTTGCAGGGATAATCTTACCTGGGTTATTTAGAAGTAGAAACACAGGGTAGTTTTTGAGATAAGTATTCTGCCTTGGGGTAAATACATAAAAATTATATTGCATTATATTTTATTACAAAAATTAATTTTAAAAACCCTTCAAAACAAACAGCAACAAAAATATCTCTATTTGCAGAATCCAGATGTGCACTAATTGATGACATGCTGGATTAGATCCCTCTTGTCCACTCCTCCCTGCCATCCCCACTGTAATACAACCAAAGAAATTTGATTTTTGTCCACTTCTGGGATTACCCAGCTTTGTCATTGTTTGAGATTTCCATCTAGGAATCCTTATGATAAGTCTAGACTGATTAGAGTCTGTTGAAAATGCTCCCTTTTCTCTGATGTCCATTTGTGTTTCAGTCTCATAGTCTTTAAATAAAATTGATTAGCCTGGGATCTCTTCAGGCTTCTTGGGATTTAACAAAAGCATTGTAGAGAGCCTGCCAGTTCTCAAAGGATTCTTTTTTCCTTTGAGGACATTTTCCACTGTCCTCTAGGTAAAGGCAGTAAATCTGAGGGTGAGCTCATAGAGCTGATAATTTCCAGGAGAGAAAGAACTCAGGATTTTAATGGTGCGCAGTGGAGCCAATTTACACACAGGGACAAACTCAGCTGCCAAAGCTGCACCTTTGCAATTTGTCAGGCACCAACTTTTTAACAGCATCTTCTGAGGCCTTGTTAAAGTCATCCCAAGATGTTTCCAGGGGAGAAAAATAAATTATATTAAATTGTTTGTCTTCATAGAATGGTTTGGGTTAGAAGGGACTTTCAAGCTCATCCCATTCCAGCACCCTGCAGTGGGCAGGGACATATTCCACTGGATCAGGTTGCTCCAATCCCCATGTATTGAAATCCCCAGTCCCAAAAATATGAAATTTTTATTTATTTTATCGAAATTGGAGCAATTATTTCAAATCAGTTCACTGTTGATGCCTTTATACCTGGTGAACAAACTGACACCAGCAAAATAACTGGACCACAGCTCCAATTTACCTTGCATTGATTTATAAATAAAATATTTATAAAAGCTTTATTGGAATGTTTAAAAATTATCACACTGATACTTTTTTTTTTTTTTCTCAATTGAAATTTACCCTAATTGACCTAAAGAACATTTTCATTTTTCAACATTTTTCTCTAGTACTAAAAAAAAGCTCCCTACCAGCCCAAGCCATTCTGTGATGATCCTGAGTGGAAATTCACAATTAAAAAGAAATCTTATTTCCACAAGGATGGGAGATGTTTGGAAATCTCTTAACCAGGAAGATCAATGACTCACTGATGCTTCTGATCCTCCTCTTCCTACAGGTGTGGGAGTGAGGGCTAATTTAAGACAGTGAGGAGAGACAGGCAAAGTTGAAATCCTTTCACTTCCTGTGAAGTGAAAGCAATTTAGATTGGATATTAAGAAAAATTCCTTCATGGGAAGTGTTTTCCAGCCCTGGAACAGGCTGCCCAGTGCAGTGGGAGAGTCACTAACCCTGAAGGGATTTAAAAGCTGTGAGGATGTGGCACTTGGGGACATGGGTTAGTGGTGGCCTGAGCAGCCCTGTGGAATGGTGAGACTTGATGATCTTAGAGGGCTTTTCCCACCCCAGTGATTCCATGATTTTGTTTTGGTGGGATGAATCCAATCCTAAACCACTCTAACACAAAGAAATTGATGGTGTTCCTCTCATGACTATTAAGTTGTTTGTCCTGGGGCCAGTTCTCATAAGCCCTAGAAAAACACTTAATACACCCAAGGATAGCTCAGCTACACTTTGGGGGCATAAAATAAGCAGGATGGCTTCTCCTGTGGTGTTAGAAACAAAAAAGGTTTAATAAAGAAAAAATAACAAACAGAAAAACTCGAACCAGGTACAGAGGTCTGCCCCTGGTAGAAACACTTCACACAAAAGCCCCTCTTCTCTTTTGTTCTGTTCCTTTCGACTTGATTGATCAGGTGGGACTTTTTGGCTTCTATCCAATTAGATGTTCTCTGGTGTTTGGTGAAGTCCCTGAGGTCCTATGAGGTGGCTTTTCACCTAACAGTTGAGAGAAGCTTCTGGGCTTCTTTCCTTTTTTGGGGGACAAAGGTTAGTTTTGCCACTCTGTCATGAGGGGGCGCATTCCTACACATGACAACCATTGAATTTCTGTCCCTGATGGATTTGGTGATGTAACTGCTGCCCTCACAGAGGCAGTTTGGGTTGGAAGAAACATTATAGACAATCCCATTCCACACCCCTGCCATGGGCAGGGACACCTGTCACTATCCTATTGCTCCAAGCCCCATCCAAGCTGGCCTGGAACAATTCTAGGGACAGGTCAGCCATGGGAAAGCCATGCCAGACCACCACAGGAAAGAATTTCTTCCCATTATCCCATCTAAGCCCACCCCGTGTCAGTGTGAAACCATTCCCTCTTGTCCTGCCTCCATGCCCTTGTCCGGAGGCCATCTCCACTCCTCCTCCTTCCTCTATACATTGTGCCTTGTATGATTTTTATAATTCACTTCTGTGAGAGAATTATGACTAAAAATATTCTTATATGTCTAAAGGAAACCCTGCAAGCAGAATCTGTGCTGTCTCTGTCTTAAAGTGTTGGTGGGTGAATTTGGGGACACTTAGTGCATGTGCCTCTGCCATCTGCTGTCACAGCACAGGAAAAGCATGTCAAGAGAGGAAGACAAACCTCACCCTGGATTCATTTATTTATTTGAAAATTATGATCCACACGAGGGAAAGTGTTTAGGAAGTTTGGGGTTTTCAGCATGGATTTTTAATATTAATAGTAATATGTGTCTAGAAATGTGTTTGTACATAATTTGAAGTCTGTGGGCTTTAGCCACTAAGTCATTATTGTGTAGGAGTAGAGTAGGAATGTGTCTCCAGGTGTAACTCTGGGTGTAACTCCAGGGTTCTGCCAACCCAGCCTGTCTCAGAAGGCTCTGCAGTGCTTCCCGAGTCTCCACATGGATTCCTTCACCTCCTTGCTCCTCAGAGTGTAGATGAGGGGGTTCATCATGGGTGAGAAGATCGTGTAGATGACAGAGACGTACTTGCTGGTGAGCAAGGTCCCAGCGGGCCGCAGGTAGGTGAAGATGCAGGGCACGAAGAGCAGGGTGACGGCCATCGCGTGTGAGGCACACGTGGACAGCACCTTCCATTTCCCCTGGGAGACGCGGGCCCGGACCTTGGCCAGGATGAGCGCGTAGGAGGCCACCAGCACCAGGAAGCAGACCAGGGATATGAGGCCGCTGTTGGAGGCCATGAGCCACTCGGTGAGGGCGGTGTCGGCGCAGGCCAGGCGGATGACGGGCGGCGCGTCACAGAAGTAGCTGTGGATGGTGTTGGGGCCGCAGAAGGGCAGCTGGAGCATGAGTGCTGTCTGGACCATGGAGTGGATAAAGCCCCCGGCCCAGCAGGCAGCGACCAGCGCCCAGCAGACCCCGCGGGCCATGATGGCCGTGTAGTGCAGGGGCCTGCAGATGGCCGTGTAGCGGTCGAACGCCATCACCGTCAGGAGGAACATCTCCGAGGAGCCCACAAAGTGCAGGAAAAACAGCTGGGCCATGCAGCCCTCAAAGGCAATGGCCTTGTGCCCTGAGAGCAGGGCCACCAGCACCCTGGGGGCCGTGACAGAGGTGTAGCAGATATCGATGAAGGACAGATTGCAGAGGAGGAAGTACATGGGCGAGGAGAGCTTGGGATCAGTCCTGACCGTCACGATGATGAGGAGATTGCCCAGCAGGACCATGGCGTAGGCCAGGAGGAGGAGGGTGAAGAAGAGGAGTTGCAGCTCCTCCCTGTCAGAAAGCCCCAGGAGGATGAATTCAGTCACCCGGGAGGAGTTGTCCTGTGCCATCACTGCAGATCAGGCTGCCATGGCACAGGTGGCTAGGTGGCCAGGAAGGGAAGGGAATGTGCTGCAGCTCCAAGGCTCATGGATGGTGTGAGCAGGATGCATTTGCTGCTGCAAAAAGCATAGAGTCATGTCACAAATGACAGAAAGAAGAGTTTGCACTTTCCCCCTCTTCTGCCCCTATTCAGGTCTCTGGCCCGCCCCTCCACACTGACCTTCTCCCCTGAACTCACTCTGACCACTATTTGCCTGCATCATGGTTGGTGTGCTCACATTCTGTCAGGGAGAAGTCACAGAATTATGGAATTGTTAAAGCTGGAAAAGCCCCCATTGAGCCCAGTTCTCCTCCCAGCACTGCCAAGCCCTCCACTAAACCATGTCCCCAAGTGTGTCATACTGCTTTTAAATCCCTTCAGGAATGGTGATTCCAGCACATCCTGCTCTTAGATAACAAGAGCCATTAATGCTGGAAAAATGCTGTGCTGTCCTTTTACCTGCTGGAAATTTGAAGTGGCTACAAGCAAGTGCTGCCATTCTCAAGCATGAGCTGTTCCATGTTGTCATCCTAATGACACTCCTCTAAAGTCAGGAAAGGGCTCTCCACTTAGCTTATCCACTCTGAAACTGGGAATACATGCACAGAAACCAGGTCTGGGAAGTTCCTCACTGGAGAAACTGGGGTTTCTAACACAGCAGAACCTGCAACACTCTGCATGGCTTCTCCACCTCTATATTTTTTAATGAATTTTTAAAGTTTTTCAGTAGATAAATACACTCACTTTGTAGGTTAAAGTGGAAGCAGCAGAGGAATGCACGTGTCCATTTAAAATCCCTCCAGGAAATTCCTTTGTTGCTCACTTCTGCCGAGGAGTTTATAACTCAGCAAGCAGGAGGCTACAAGTAAGAAACCAGATGTCTATGGTGCCAACAGCATTGAAAAAAGCTGCCTTAGAAGATCAAAAAGGCCAAATCATTAGACATTAACAGGACACACTCATTGTCCTCTGGTATGAATACCCACTGTATTTCTTCTGCTGTCTTTTTGAGACAATTTCCCTTTAAAGCCAATGCTTCCCTGAAGGAGTAACAGTGAAATCCAAGCCAGAATATGTCACTGGCATGTGTAATAACAAGCTCTGATTATTTAGCTGAGGAGGGTGGTAAAAAAATACCCAGGTCCTGGCTGTGGTGTGGAACACCCCATAAATGCACCTGTAGTGACACTGGGGTAGTGGACGAGATGTTGCTGCTTTACTGACAAACACCCACAAATCCACTTACAGTATTCCCATGCAGAACACCAGGATCACTAGAGTGTGATATTCCTGAAAGTGCTCAAGACCAAGCTGGACAGGGCTTTGATCAGCCTGGTCAATGGACCTGTCCATGGCAGGGGGTCAGAACAGGATGAGCTTTAAGATGCCTTCCAACCCAAACCATTCTGGGATTCTAAATCTGTAACTGATTTTTAATTTTTTTTTCCAAGTCATAAAATAGACCTCCCAAAAGTCACTCACCAGCAATGCTGCTTTGCAAAGGTAGGATTTCAGTGGGGCCTGAGCAAAACAAAGGAACAATCCCAGAACACTTCCACAGAGCTCACTTGCTGTCGCTCCTCTGACGACCTCCCCACCACTTCAGGGGGTTCCATCAGAACCTCTCCGTTCCATTAGAAACTCTCTGCGAGGTGCTACTCAGAAGTTATGAAACAGCTCTGTATCTCTGCCAGCTCTAAGCCCTGAAAAGAACAGCCCAACCTTCTGTATGTCCCATTATGCAAAAAAAAAAAAAAAAAAAAAAAAAAAAAAAAAAAAAAAAACAAAAAAAAAAAAACAACCAAACAAAAAAACCCAACAACCAGGAGCACCTTCAAGTACAATTATTTCTGTAGCAGAAATAGTTCAAGTACGTCACACAACAGAAGCACAAGGCTGTCAGGAGTAATGAGATCCCAGAGGCAAAGGGAGTTTTGTCAGAAATCATCAGTGGGCAAGGAGCTGAAATTGTTCCTTGGGTAGTTATTAGTGTAATCCCTGGAGAGAGACACCAGAGTAAAGATGTCTCTTACATAGGACATTTATATAAATTCATGTAAATGGATATAAATTTTGCTTTCTGTCCTAAGCCAGTATTTCTCACCTACAATCTTATTTCTTACTAACTTACACGTTGACAGCACAAAGCAAAAATATCACTGGTGTTATCCCTTAGACACCTGACTTACAACTTTAAAACAAGAAGTAACTCAGGAAATTGCTTCAAAAAATGCACAAAAATTTGTGGTGAGCCTTCCTTGCTCAGCAGGTATTTTTACTGACACAGTAAAGCACAGAAGCAACTTTTGAGCTCAAGTATGAAATTCCTGTAAGAATTCTTTGCAAAGTGTCGAGGAGCCTGACACTGTTTCCAGTGACACCTTCCATAAGCTATGGGTGAATATTTGCTCAGCAGCACCCAGAAGAGAGACCTCTAAAAAACCCCACTGTTGCTCACCTCAAAAGCATTTAAAAATACATTTATTTTATTTACTGCTGTCTTGGGCAGAGATAGGTGAAGTAGATAGAATTATAGGATAATTACGGAATTGCAGAATAGCTGCTTTGATTGGAAGGTGCCTTTTAGACCATTTCATTCCAACCCCCTGCCACGGGCAGGGACAACTTTCACCAGACAAAGTTGCTCCAAGCCCCATCCAGCCTGACCTGGAACAGGGCAGAAAAGATTTGCTGAAGTGGGAGAGGAAAGGGAGAAGTTTCCCCTCCTGTTCCTTCATCAGCAAACCACCCAACTAACTCTTATTATCAGGGTTTATTTGTTTTTTTGTTTCTTATGGGGTGTTCTACCTGGACAATGTTTTCAGTATTTAAGCACTGATGTTGCAGCTGCTCAGGAGGCCTTGTGCTCATTGACAAGGAATAGGAAGGGAATGCCAGAGTTCCCAATGTCTTTCCCATACACAAAGAACTTTTAGTGCCTTCTTAATTACAGCAGAGCCAACAGGCAGCTGTTCTTCAAAAGGCCCATTCTGGGGCATTGTCACAGAAGAAATTACAGCAAAACCTACTTGATTTTCTCCGATCCTTTGGGAACATGACCACAGCCCTACCCCTTCCCATTTCTGCTTCCCACTTCCCCCCTGCACAGTTTCCTCATGGCTCCCTTCACCTCCCCATCCCGGAGGGGGCAGATGAGGGGTTTGAGCATGGGTGTGATGAGCATGTAGAATATGGCCACGCTCCTGTCCTTGGACAAGCCACTGGATGGGTGGATGTAAACAAACGTGCTGGGCCCAAGGCACAGGATCACCGCAGTGATGAGGGACCCACACGTGGACACCTCCCCAGCACACCTCGCCAGCGTTTGGCCCCTAGGGAAACCAGGATGACCACGCAGGATGTGACCAGGATGAGGAAGCAGCTCCGGGATATGACCCCGCTGTTGGCCAGCGCGGCCAGGCCCTCGGCACAGGCCAGGGGAGCAGGGGGTGGACATCACAGAAATAATGGGGGACTTTAGTGGGCCACAGAAAGGGAGCAGGGCGGTGGGAAGGGTCTGGAGGGTGGAATGCAGGAATCCCCCCGCCCAGGAGATCCCACCATGCGGCCGCAGAGGCGGCGGGACGTGAGCGCGGGGTCGGGCAGGGGCCGGCAGATGGCCGTGCGGCGGTCGTAGGCCACGGCTGTCAGGATGAAAACCTCTGTGCAGCCAAAAAAATGAAGCCCCAAGAGCTTCCCTATGCAACCTGCAAAGGAGATGGTGTTATTTTCCACCAGGAAGCCAGAAATCATTTGGGGAGCTGTGACAGAGGAGTAACAAACACCTACAAAGGAAAGGTGGCAGAGGAAGAAGTACATGGGGGAGTTCAGGCACCGGCTGCTCGTCACAGTGAGAACTGTGAGATTTCCTGCCACTGTGAACGTGTAGAAAAGCAGGAACACCACAAAATATATTTTCGTCACCCCTTGGTTCTCTGAGAGGCCCAGGAGGATGAATTCCTTCATGCTCCTGGAGTGTTCTGTGCCAATCTACTGGGCAATGTGCAGTACAGAGCCTGGAAATGTGGAAAGTTAAAGACAAAATGATTAATCAGTTTTTTCATTCTTAAAAATTCTTTATCAGAAGTGCATTCTCTCTTAGAAATACATAGGATTAGAATTAAGTTTATCAAGTGCTTTTAAAATTTGTTGTGTTTTTTGTTTGTTTTTTTGTTGTTCTTCCCCCTCTACATATTTAGTTTGCCTTGTATGAGACACAGCCATAGAATCATAGACTTCTGGAATCATTTGGGTTGCAAGGGACTTTAGAGACCATCTAGTTCCAACCCCACTTCCATGGGCAGGGATGCCACCCACTGGATCCCTTTGGGATTGGATCCATCTGATCCAAGCTCCTATTTTATGATTTTAAAATAGAGCAAGACCAGAAACTCCTGTAGAGGCAAAAAGCTGATCAAGCACCCACAGGAAATGCTGAAATGTAGAAAAACGAAAATTGCTCTCCAACTTGAAAAAGTGAAGCCTAAAGAGGAAGTTGGGAAAGTTTGTGACTTCTCCTGTGCTTGCAGTTTTACTGACAGGAGGTAAAACATACTCAAGGAAGGGGATAAAAGGGAGGTCTTACCTCTAAAATAATCTTTTCAGTCACTGACTAGAGGTACATGATATAGTGCAATCAGTTGGAATACGAAATAAATACAATGTGGACTGTTATAATTTAAAAAACAAAAAGGATAAGGATTGCACCATCCTCTTATTGCAAGGGTTTCCCCCCAGAATCACAAATGGTTAATTGAAGAAGAATTCAATAACCTGATTTGGGACTGGAAAACCAGTTCTGCACATGGTTACAGCCAAAGAGAGACAGAGGTGGTTGAGAACTTCAGGGGAAATTTCTCTTTGCATTTTCACCTTTGTCAAGAGGAAGGGCAGAGGGGGGAAAAAGAGGAAAGGAAATCAGAAGAAGGAAAGAAAAGAGGAAAGTGAAAGATCCTGGAAAACTTACCTTCTCTGTGTTTGGAGATCTAATTTTTGTGCAAGAGCTGTGAGATTTTATGTCCCCAACATCTCCCTTTCCTGGTAGAGGCTTTAAAGAACATAGAACAGCTTCTGAAAAGCTTCCAACACTTGCTTAGGAGCTGCCTTTTTTAATCCCACCTCATTTAATTCCTTGCTTTCCTTTATCACCAAGTATGCCTGGCTTTTCCTGCCCATGTTAGAGCTGCTTGGAGGGAACATGGGCACTGAAGTGTGCACAGACAGCCCAGCAAGCAGAGGGAAAAAAACTGTTTAAGTAACTTTCCTCAAACCTCTCCAAGGAAATCTCCCTCCTCCAGGGCTGAATTCACTGTTCACACAGACCTACTCCACCCTCTCCAAGGAAATCTCCCAGCTCAAGAGCTCTTGGGCTGGAGGAGGGAGGTGTGAATGCTCAGGGGTGGGAAGGAGAAGAAATTAATCCCATCCTGCCAGTTTAGAAAGGAAGTTTAGATTGGATTTTAGGAAAAATTTCTTCACTCACAGGGTGGTGCAGCCCTGGCACAGTTTACCAAGAGCAGTGGTGCAGTCACCATCAGTCTGGAGGGATTTAAAACCTGTGGATGTGGCACTTGGGGACACACATTAGTGGTGGCACTGCTGGGGAATGGTTGGACTCTATGACCTTGGAGGGCTTCTCCAACCTTAACAATTCCATGATTCTTGGAAGTAACAGCCAATAGATTAGCTGAATATTAAATCTGGCAAGCATGTGATGTGCCTGGTCAAGTTAACATTCCCAGACTCTGACATTAATCCATGCTTTGTGTGTTTCCCAAATCTTAGATCCACAGCTTAGGCTTTATGGCACTGTGAATAATAATAAAATTGTGAGGAATTTTAAATCATTGTGCTTCCCAAAAAAACCTCCACAAGCCTTCATGAAAAAAAGAAAAATAATCTGAAAGGTTTCTATTACTAAGTAGAAGAGAGACATAGGGTGGCTTGGGTCACTTCTGGATGACCCTCCAAGTCTATTTTCCATGAAGTTTGATCACTGGTAACCCAGGGAATTAGTACTAAGTAGAAGAGAGACATAGGGTGGCTTGGGTCACTTCTGGATGACCCTCCAAGTCTGTATTTTCCATGAAATTTAATCACTGGTAACCCAGGGAAAAAGGCCTTTTGCAAGAACTTGCAATGTTTCAGCAAAGGTCAGTGGAGTAAGTAAAAAAAAAAAAAAATCCTTATTTTACAAATTGGGAAACTAAGGGAGGGGAGGAAGTCAGCTCTTGTACATCTCTGGAAGTCAGCTGAGTTGAGCCTTTGCCACTCCAGGCTTTCCTCTGGAAAGAAATGGATCTAGTCACCTAATCAGTAAGGGGAAATGGCTTTAAATGAGACAAGGTGGGTTTAGGTGGGATATTGGGAATAAATTCTTCCCTGTGAGGGTGCTGAGGCCCTGGCACAGGTTGCCCAGAGAAGCTGTGGCTGCCCCATCCCTGGAAGTGTTCCAGGACAGGTTGGAGCACCCTGAGATAGTGGAAGGTGTCCCTGCCTGTGGCTGGGGGTGGAACTGGATGACCTTTAAAGTCCCTTCCAACCCAAACCATACCAGAATTCAATGAATTTGTGTATTATTGCAGCTCCAGCTTGTCATGGCTCTGAAGTTTACTGTGTATTTTCAGCTTCAGATTTAGGTGCATCAATAAATACTTTCATCCACTGCCCATCCCTCTGTTTTGCTGACATTTACTGAAATTCAGAATGGCCCAATAACAACAAAGGCATTTTGAGTGTCTCCCAACATGGAATGCCAGCAATTCATGCAGAGAAAATGGAAACCCTCAAATTAATGAGGAGTTTAAATAGAGCTCTGGATAAAAATAGTATTTTAATTTAGATATCATTTTATGCCATAGCCTGGAGTCCTGGCCAGGTTAGTGAGGGTTGCCAGCAACCACTATAGGAAATAGGATTGGGTAAGAAAGGAAAAACAGTCTTACAATCTTTGGGAAAGGAAGAGGAAGAACAGATGACAACAGAAGCTGAAGATGTACAAATGCACTTCTGACCTGCTAAGCAAATTTGGGCTGGATCTGCCTGTTCCTCTGCCCACTGACACACACGGCAGTGATTTGGGTGGCGTCACACTCCTGTCCCTTTACTTCCCTGGCACACGGGACTAAGGGACAAAATAGCTCCCTGTGAGGATGTCAGGAAAGGAGAAAGGTGTTTTCTCTGTTTCCACACCCTTTGGATTGGGGTGGCTCATGGACATGGAGTGTGCATGGACAGGGCTGGGATGTTGTGGGTGGGTGGTACTGGGTTCTGTCTTTAGGAGACACAAGGTGAGGAAGAGCCTGAAGCTCTGTTCAGGGGGAAGTTGTGAAACTGGAAGTGAAAGGCATGGGTCTGGAGGGATTTTGTGAAATCAGAAGTGCCTGAGGTGTTGAAGGAGTGTGCTGAAAGCCTGTGGGGTGTGAAGGTGCACTGAAAGAGCTCCTGACCCCAGAGCTCCATGCTGAGGGCAGCACAAGCAGGGTTTGGGCATCTGGAACTGCTGAGGTGGAAGGTTTGGGTGCAAGGTTGGATGAAGCAGTAGACATGCCATAAGGTGCTGGACTGTGCCGGGAGAGGCTGTGGGTCAGAGGAGGACCCACTGTGGTGGTGGGTGTGTGACAAGTGGAGGGACAGGAGGGAATGAGAAGTGCTGAGGGAGGTTGTGAAACCTCCAGCAAAGATGTTATGGGAGAGAAATTAACATTTCTCTACCTGAGCAGCACTAAAACCTCACCTTCAGGGGCTGTGAAACCATATCATCTCAGGGCCTCAAGTAGGACAACACCAGTGCCAAGTCTGCATGGACAGTTCTTGCAAGAATGGCTGAAGAAGGGAGAAGTAGTAAAAAAATAGTGTTTCCGTGACACTGCAAAGAGGGGAGGGAGAAGTGGTTCAAATCTTAGTGATCATACCCACGCAGGGGAGGTATTTCCCCCATGAGTGATTGGCTGCCTGGAGGGTCACGCTGAAAACACCATGGCTTTTTAAACAGTGGCTGCCCAGCCCAGCACTGCAGGATGACACAAGGACTCGAGCTGCACCCTGTGTCACACCATCCAGGGGAAAACATTGCTGGGCACAGGCGCTGAAATTCCCAGGAACGCAAAAAAGGTGAGAAATTCTCAGGTGAGTCTTTGACGTTGCACACTGATGGTTTGTCAGGCTTTGGGGAAGGGAGGAGAAACAAAAACAATGGAGAAAAAAAGATCAAAAATTTACTTCCTTTGCTGGACAGAAATTTGCTGTAGGTCAGGAATTGATGATATCATTTTCAATATAAAGAAAGCTTCATTCCAGGGACTCTTGTCGCTGTACAAGTGCTCTTGAACTGCTCTAAATGCACCTCTGTAATATAAAAATCATTACTCAGAGACCTGGCATTAGAGCAGCAGAACTTTCTGTCCACTGTCTGAGACACCTTTGTGGGGTCAGGGTTGTTCTGCCTCAGGAACTACAGGCAGGATTTGCAGGCAAATCACATGGAGGATGTTTAATCTCAATGAAGAAAATGATCACCTGGACTCAGGCTGCTGCTGTTTGAGGAGAGTTTTCACTTATTAGTTACATAAGGAAGTGGAATCACGTCCTGAATGTGTCTTGGAGACAGGAATTCAGTCTTTCCAAGGGACTATGATAAATAAATGAGACTCATGAGTGACTTTTGCAGTGTTCTTCTCCACGGTCTTCAGAAGTAAAAGAAGGATTTAATCACTTCTGTTACAGCAGAAGGCAAAACTATTGCTGTTTTGTCATTTACCCGTTGCAGCCATTTCTGTTCCTGGCAGTCCTTATGTACATGCAGCACCTTCCAGTGCATAAAGGTGCTCCAAGGCAGTTGGAGAGGAACTTTGGAGAAGGGTCTGGAGTGACAGGACAAAGCACCTGGCAGTCCTTATGTACATGCAGCACCTTCCAGTGCATAAAGGTGCTCCAAAACAGCTGGAGAGGGACTTTGGAGAAGGGCCTGGAGTGACAGGACAAAGCGGAATTGTTTTAAACTGGAAGACGGTGGATTTGAATTAGATCTTGGGAGGAAATTCTTCTCTGTGAGGGTGGTGAGGCACAGACTGCCCAGAGGAGCTGTGGCTGCATTATTCCTGCAAGTGTCCGAGCCCAGGTTGGCAGGGATTTGGAACAACCTGGTCTCTGGAAGGTGTCCCTGGCTGTGGCAGGAGGTTGGAACAAGATGAGCTTTAAGATCCCTCCCAACCCAAACCATTCCATGATTCTATTAGATGATCAATGGCACAAAGCCATTTAACATTGGGAATTATCACCTGTCATTCCCTCAGTCCCCAGTGGAGAGAGATGCACCTGTGACCTGTGGAGGCTGCAGTGGGCTGAGACAGAACTTAGGTGACAATAAATGTTCACACTCTCTTCAGATCAAGAGGAAACTTGGTTGCACAGAAGCCAGGAAACCACTTAACCACCGGGCTTTCCTCTGTTCTCGCAGCAGAAAAGCTGCACAAAACTCGAGGCTGTTTCTGCTAATTTCTGAAAAAATGTGATCATTTGTGGCCACCCCTGGAGCAGGCTGTGAGGGAGGAACAGCCTCAGGGCTGCTCTCCACAGTGTTCATGTTAGAAGTGCTCAAGGTGCCATAAAAGCTGAGGATGGGATCATCCAGCTCTGCAGTGCCAGAAGTTCCCTGGTTTCAATCAACCCTAAAGGAAATCATAGAATTCTCAAATAATTTGGGCTGAAAGGGACCTCAAAGCCCATCCAGTCCCACGCCCTGCCATGGGCAGGGACACCTTCCACTAGCCCAGGTTACTCCAAGCCTCATCCTACCTGGGCTTGAAATTCCCTGCACTAAACACTTCTTTTCCCTCTGTCCATGGGGTCAGTGTGCCTGGGGTGCTGGGATGGAACAGCAGTGATTCAGTCTGTCACGTTCTGGGTGCTTTTGGAAGTCTGTCTCCATGTGTGCTGCTGCACCACAAAGAGAGAACAGAGGATTCATGCTGGCTACATCGGTCAGTGATTCACATCTTCCCAGAAATCCCCATCTTTTGTTCCTATCCTATTTTTAACTTCTCTGCCTTCCACGTCAAAATTAACAGCTGGTTGGGAGACAGCAAAAGAACCACTCTATTTGTTCTCATCAGACCATAAAAAAGGTGTTAAACCCATTTTTTTCACCCCCAAGATTCTCAGACTTCAGTACCACGGGGAAGGAAACAGTGACTTAACCCATGGAGTGGTGTGGAAAAGTTATCAGAGCCACAACTCCCATGTCCTGTGAGGACGAGATAATCTGTGGTTTCTTACATGTGGTTCTTGCAGCTTCTGAGGGAGAAGCTGAGGGCTCTGCCACACCAAAATGTTTATTTTTTACTGTACATGGGACCCAGGAGAACCACATCAAATGGCACTTTATTAAAACAGAAATCACTCATCAATATAAAAAACTACCAGTTGTTCTCAAGGAATCACAGAATTCCAGAGTGCTTTGGGCTGGAAGGGACCTTAAAGATCATCCAGTTCCAACCCCCTGCAATGGACAGGGACACCTTCCGCTATCCCAGGGTGCTCCAGCCTGGCTTTGGACACCTCCATAGATGGGGCAGCCACAGTTTCTCTGGGCAACCTGTGCTAGAGCTTCACCACCCTCCAGGGAAGCATTTATTCCCAATATCCCATCTAAACCCACACTCTGTCAGTGTGAAGCCTTTATCCTGTGTCCTATTACTCTAGGCTCTTGGTCCCTTCCAAACCAATTTATTTTGAGGTTCCATGAAATCAAGTTCTAGCTACATAACCCTGGAACAAACCAAGGAGCCCCTCTAGAAAAGTCACCCTGGAGTTACCACCTCTCCCCTTTTTGCTCCCAGGTCTGAATCACCCATTATGAGACCCTCAACCCCACCAATCATCCTTCCAACCACAGCCATCCATGCTCCCGGGACCAACCACAGCGGGGCTGTGGGACAACCTGAGGCATCCTACACTGTCCTCAAGTTCATGGAGAGCTTCTGCCTGCTGAGTGCTGCCTGTGGGATGGTGGGGAACGGCCTGGTCCTGTGGTACCTGGGCTTCCGCATCCGCAGGAACCACTTCACCGTCTACATCCTGAACCTGGCGGCCGCCGACTTTGGGTACCTGCTGTGCATCGCCGTGGAGACCGTGCAGTACCTGATGCAGTTCAACGTGGGGGTGCAGTTCGGGATATTCCTCTTCCTGGATCTCTTCATGTACGGCACGGGCCTGTACCTGCTGACGGCCATCAGCATTGAGCGCTGCCTGTCCGTGCTGTCCCCCATCTGGTGCCGGACGCACCGCCCGAAGCACCTGTCTGCCGTGGTGTCCGGCCTGCTCTGGGCCCTGTCCCTGCTCCTGAACACACTGGGATATGTTCTGTGCACCGTTCGCCCCTCTCCCAGGGTCTGCCAGCGCCTGCTCATCGCCATCGGAACCTTGGATTTCCTCGTCTGCGCGCCCCTCATGCTGCTCTTCAGCCTCACCCTCTTCCTGCGGGTCAAGTGCAGCTCCCAGCCCTTCCAAACGGGCCGGCTCTTCACCGTCATCATGCTCACCATCCTCCTCTTCCTCATTTTCGCCGTGCCCCTCAGTGTCCTCATCCTCCTGGACTTCCTGGGCCTCAAGTTCCTGTATTCCCCAGAGATTGGCTTTGTGCTGTCCTGCGTCAACAGCACCCTCAACCCCATCATTTACTTCCTGGTGGGAAGCTACAGGGATCGGAAATTCAGGCTCACCCTCAGGCTGGCATTCCAGAGGGCCTTCCAAGACTCAGCAGATGACAGAGATGAGCGGGAAACGCGGGACACGATAACCATGTCCTCCTAAAGCCCTGCCTGGAATGTCTTGGCAGAACTGAGGAACTCTGAGGTACTGGGGAAGGTTCACCTCACCTGACCCTCAGTACCCTCTTTGTAGATATTTTAGGTCATTATTTTAAGTTCCCATTCTTTTAAGACCCCCTTTGGGTTATTAAGTGCCCCATATGGCACAGAAGCAGCTGGACCATAGGATTTACCTGACCTGTATTTAGGACACGTTAAAATTGCCTGTTTCTTTCCAATGACTACTAAATAATATTAATTTGATAAGGCTGAAATGTCTTGGTGTCTGAATTTCATCAAAGAAACCCTGCTCAGGATAAATCCTTGTTGTTCATAAACTCATAAATTCTGTGTTGCTTTTCACTCAGATCTCTGAAAATGAAATCGGTACCAACAATCCTCCTGTTGGAAGCAGACATAAAATTCCTGGAAGGAGAATCCATCTATCCCTCTTAACTAAGAACTCCCATCCCATGTCAGAGCACACACACAGTCTTTTGTGGCTCACAGAGACATTCTGGGCTTCCTAATGTGAGCATTTCAAGGAGTGGAAAGATTCACATCCACCAAGTCTATTTATTCTCTGAACCAGGGAGGTTTCCACACCACAG